CACTACTCCACCGAGATTAGTCTTGATACTTACTAGGTACCGACCGTGGTGTACCCATACTACACTTCTGCATATTTTTGTGCAGAGCCAGGTATTGGAGCTATCGAACTCAGACAGAGTTAAAGTTGGATAGCAAGGATTCGAGGTAGAGCTGTTTGGTCTTCGCAGTTCCTTGGAATCTTTCCATTTTATTATACTGTTAATTATTATTCAAATAGTATTGAGTATTCGATCCTTGAGATCATTTCATGTATTCAGTTAGAGTTCGTGACTCATTATTACCAGTCTTGGGAGTTTTTCATAATTATTTCTGTTGTTGGTTTATATAAAAAGGCTTGAATTGTTATTATAATCGGCTCACCTAGTCTTAGAGACTAAGTGTCATCACGACGTATGTGGCGGGATTTTGGGTCGTGACAAAAATTCTCCAAATGTGCCACTTATTTTATGAATTAAGAGTCACCAAATAGGGCTTGATTTGCTGCCACGTTGGGAGGGGGGGTTAGGCTTATCCAAAATTATCCACTCATTTCCTTAATTAACTTGTTAATCCTCACTAATCCAATAATTAACCAATTACTCACATAATTAAGAATTATCTCAAATTACTTAAAATACTACTCACTTTATACATCTTACCATCATGGTCGTATGGTACCTTGTATGGCACTAGTCCATAAATACAGGGTATTATAGCTTGGACAGTATTTTAACTTAAAATGTCAAATTTCAACGAAACTCATTTTTTTCGATTTGCTTACTCTCTCACCTTCACGAATTTACTTATCACTCGTTTGAATAAGCATAATACTTATAACCTCCAAATAATCTCATTCCCAAGCTTACGTCGATTAACTTATGACGAAACTTTAATGTATGAAAATGCGGGATATAACATCTCATTTCCGAACTTTCATCAATTTACTTAAGGCATACTTTCACGTACGAAAACATGGGGTGTAACATCATTCCCCCCTTTGGAATATTCGTCCTTGAATGTTAACTGATGCATTTATCATTCTCATAACCCATAGCTCTTGCGAATACATTAATACTCTCCTTGCCATCTAGGCAACTGTTCTGTGAATAAGTTCAAAAGCCAGGGCATTCCCCCCTTTAGGTCTCTTTCTTACACCATGACTTGTGGTCGGAATCTTTCCAATCTCATAACTGTCGTTACCTTCTGTCATGCAATATGTATGACTCTAACCTTGTAAGTGCGCCTATGCGAATCTTTTCTCATTTTCCCTCCGGCTTTTAGCTAATCTCTAGGCCTCACTTTGTAAGCATATACAGAATTATGACAAGCTATCCCTCTGGGCATCTATGGTGAAGTTCTTCGCTCAGTACTTTGTTGAACTTACGAATATTGTTATACCTTATTTCATAGATCCGTTTATCCATTCGTATGACTTTACAACATCTAGGTAGGTCATACTATACCATAACTCTTACTTCGATTTATCGTTACTGAGGTCTGCTACCAAACTCCAGGTTACTCTCGTTGCTTATCCAATATGCACAAATCTAAGTCCTTTAATACTTCTTCATCACTGTTCATCTTAAGAATGATGGTCTAATCTCATCTCATACTTTGTAACTCTTACCCATCCACTGTTGATTCACCTTAATACCGATAACTTGACCTCTTATGTAACATTGCCGCTAGGGCTCACAACTTATCGGGGAATATCTGAAATTATTAGGCTGATCCACCTAAGGCGATACCATGCTTCCATAACCGTATTTCATAACATCCCAACGTGATTTATCCTATGGGGTTATTCTAATCCCGTACAACTCATGAAATCCCCCCCCCCCCTTCTTCAAATCATAACTCAATCGAAGGCCCAAACGTCATCCTTTATTTATCACAATTATACCTTCATTCTACTACCAGGGCATCATTCCATCTCTTCTAAATGCTATTAGTCTTAGACTCCTCTAAGTTTATTCAGGCTGTACTGAGCTTTGTATAACTTAGAGAAACCATCAGCTCTTCTTGTTTTCATGGGCTTAATCTTGAGGACTTATCCATTCTTGTCACCTTCTCACTCACCCTTTCTTATCCTCACTCTTGTCTTCCTAAAACCTTGTCTCTTTACCATACTTTAGCTTGCGACCTACACATATCTATTTATATTATTCGCAACCTTCCTTCAACTTGCTTGCACCATAGATTTCCTTATGTTATTCTGGAATATCAAGCGAGACATCACATCATCTCCAACTCTTCTTGCTCTCTTGACTAGATCTCTCTATACTTAGAAACCATAGGCTGGAAGATATGCCACTGACGATGCCGCTTTCATTCCTGGATACTGAATCCCCGCGCATCTAACCTTTTATCCGAAGTATGAACTGTTCACAACCTTCTGCATTTGAGTATCTCGAACGTTGTTTACCTTTACCTTACTTAGCTTAAAATATCTCATCATATCTTCTATCTCTTTCATGACCGCCCTTCCACATAGGTATAATTCACATCCACAACTTGAAGCTCTATTATAACACTTGCACTTTTGGTGCATACTCAATACGGTGAGCTTCATACTGACTTCTTATAAGGCTGGTACTCTTCTAACTGGATTTATCGTAGAGCCGTTATAGAATATGGCTACTGTACTATATCTCTTGTACCTCTGATATTAAGAGTGATTCTGCAAAGTTCTCAATCATGATGTCTATAATTTTCTGGGTCTAATAATCAGACTCCTGATTTACTTAGTTGATGTAACTCTTTAGTTTCCTCTTCCTGCCGCTACTAGAAATACACACTTTTCCCACGAAAGAATCGGTGGGAAATCTGTGTGAAAATTTAATATTCCCACGACATTCCCAGGGAAGACGCTCAGTGAGAAAATGGCTGGTAGGAAAATAGTTTCCTAGGACATTCGTGGGTAATTCCCAGGGAGTTTCCCACTGAGGGTTTGACGAGAAATTGGTGGGGTCACTAGTAAAATTTCTCACGAACGTCGTGAGAAAAGTAAGAAAATATAATAATTTAATTTTCTTAAGTTTTTCACTGAATCCGTGGGAATTATTAAAAATAATTTAGATATTTTTTTTTACCCATGAAAATGTTGAAATTTTGGAAAAAAAAATATGCACAAAATTCCCACGGAGTCGGTGGGAAATCCGTGGGAAATCTAGAAAATATTTTCATGGTTAAATCTGTTTTTAGAACTACACCACCTGCCAAACAGAAAGTACAACCAACAATACAAGACTAAATACACTTAAGCATTCAAATACCAAATTCAACATGCAATCTAATTCAGTTCATAAATGACAACTAATCAATCCATTTCAAAATCAATATCCAACTAATTAGAAAGTAGAACAAAAACTCAAAAAATCCAACATTCAACATTCAGGTACCATCCAAGACAAGCTAATAAAAGAAGCTACTCCTTAGTTATCATCAGATGCTGGAGAACGGGGTACAGAAAATGCACCAGATGCTAAGAGGGGGTTTATCTGAGACTTTAGACTTTTAACATTACTAGTGACAAGTCTTAATGCATCGTCCTTTTGCCTCATTTCTTCTTCCCTTCGCCTTTCATCTTCCTCTCTTTGCCTATATTCTTCCTCCCTCCGCTTTTCCTCTTCTTCTCTTGCAGTCCTTTCTTGAAGATACAACTCAGTAATCTTCGCTACCTTCCTATTCAATTTCTCAAACTCATCCAGATCAATCGAGCAATGTGAGGAAGAATAAGAACCAGACAATCCAGAAGTACGACGACCGAGACTAAACTCTGATCTAAGGCCGTAGACTCTCCACTTATACACGCCACCAGCTACCTTAATCCACGTGTCCACGATCTCCTCTTGTGATGGTTGGATTGGGCTACCTTGATCATCAATCGACTGACTTTGAATGAACTCCTCCAAGTTTCGTTTGAAAGCATCCTGTAAACAAATTACAATTATTATAAAAGTAAACTTTATTAAAGAAAATTTAAGGGAAAAAAAGAGAGAATGCTAAGAAATATTAATGTTTTTGACTAATAATTCTTATATTAGGAAAAAAGGAGATCAGAAGGAAAAAATACAAGATAAGGTAGATAGATACATGTAATTCTCAACCTACCAAAAAACAGAAAGTAGAAAAAGCGTCCAGAAAAAGTGCAAAGAGTCTTGATACACTGGACCTAACAATTACAGTAATATACTTGTATTTGATTTTTTATATATAATTTGGCCAATAAACTTACTGTTTCTATGACATTTTGTTACTATATACTTAATATTCTTATACCAGTAAATACTCGTCATTAAGGGCATACAATATTAAGGTATTGTATACAAATTGAGTATTTGTGAATGCCAGTTAGTGGATTTATAACTAATCTACTCTTCCAGTAAATGAGTTCAATTTTCTTTTGATAAAGTTACCTGTTTCACACCGTATTTTTCTACTTCAATCTTATGCAAGTTAAAACCAACAATTTACACACAAATAAATTGAGAGGGTACACAAAGAGAAATCTGTCATTAAACAGGATAAGATATGAGAGGAAAACATTAGTATATTCTATAACACTACCCCCTGTGGTGTTGTAACCTGATTAGTAACTCGCGAGAAACCAGCAATATCTTTCCCTTAATTCATTTTCAAAATAAAAGCAATCAATTATTAGCTAACGTTAAAAAACTCCTACATATTCTGCATGATGAAAATAAAATCATTGAATTCAATGTGTGTAGAATAAACTCGTACATATTCTGCATATGCTACCAAAAAAGATATTATACATGGTGACCAATGTGTGTAGAATTTTCTTCTCTAGACTAAAAGCATTGAATTCTCATGAAAACCATTGGTGGCCTGGGGAAGCATAAACCAATGCACAAGTAGCAAGCAATTCCGGATATCTCTCCGAGAGTAGCAGTCCAAAAAAATGGTTGCTTCTTTTGGTTGTATAACACTACATGAGTCTTCCAGACACAAAAGAAGAAGAAAATAGATATGCTTTGAGGATAAAACTACAGCAACACACCTTTGAGATATGCATTTATTAGCTTTTTTGTGTAAATTGGATTTTATAGAGGACACAGATGAATTTTTAGTTTTATCAGCTACCTAAGATTCTGAATAGGTGCTAAATGTAACAAACAAGATATTCGGCCTGTTAACAGAGAATCCACTGGATGCCTTGTGAATTAACAACTGAGTGTTAACAACTGAGTGTTACCAACAAATAAGCTAGTTTAAAATAAAGCTCATTAATCTTAAATGGGTTGTCTCAGCGCGCGGCTCGACCCAAGTCGTTTTTGTTCCATCTTTCAGCTTCTTCATGTGGGTTTCCTCAAATATCTCATCATGAGTAACTAGTCTTCCTTTAGCCTTTTCCTGAAAAATGAATAATATCTTAAAAAATGGTAACTAAAGTAGTTCTAAATCAAGAAAAATATAATAAAGACATTACCAATCTTCTTCTGTGAGCCGCCATACTAATTCAACCGCCCGTGTGCAACGAGCTACCCTTGTCGGACAAACGGCTGCCCTTCCCTAGGCGCTATTTTTCTCAAATTCCGGAGAGTTCCAATACTCAAGAAGTTTAACCCATATATCATCAAGAATCCAATTTGGCCTCTTTTTACTTTCTCGAGCAGTTCGAAGCATATCACACAACCTATCAGAACAATTCTTAAAGAAAACGGCTCGTACCTCAGCCTCAGAATCGCGTGACCATGCACACTTCATCTGTAAATAAAACATGTTAGAATGAATAAAAAGAGTTGAAAACTAAAGTAAAATATTAATTTTACCCTAAATTCAGCAAACATTCTGTCCCTAACGTGAGTTGGAACTTCTGAACAGAATCTCCATGGTGCGTGATAAAACGAACACATTGATTCAACCACGGCTTTCGTAGCTTGAGGAGGATAAAAACTGCATTGAATTTAAAATAAGTTAGAAATTATATTTACAAATTAATTAGGAATTAAAAAAGATGAATATTTACCCCGCTCCATCGGACACAATAATCAACCTCCGAAGATCATCATATTTTCCAACATTTGGAGGATCCTGCCTTCGTGTAGAAGTCTGTGTAGCTGTATCACTACCAGTGTATGGGGATGTCGAATTACTATTGACTCCAATATGTGGCCTAGAAATGCTGGGAGATGAAGACGGAGTGAATTGAGACGAAGGTATGGAAGAGTGGATAGCAGGCTGACTAAATGATGAAAGCATGCTAGAGGAAGATGATGAGTGAATGATTGGGGAAAATGATGATCGAATGCTAGAGGAAGATGATGAACGAATGACCGGAGAAGATGATGATGGTAGGACAGGGTAAGACGATGAGGGTACGCCATGCGAAAGTGGAGTGAATTTAGACGAAGGCATGGAAGAGTACCTAGCAGGCTGACTAAATGATGAGGGCATGCCTGAAGAAGATGATGAACGAATGACCGGAGAAGATGATGATGGAAGGACAGGGTAAGATTATGAGGGTATGCCATGCGAAAGTGGAGTGGATTTAGACGAAGGCATGTAAGAGTACCTAGCAGGCTGACTAAATGACGAGGGCATACCAGAGGAAGATGATGAATGAATGATTGGGAAAATGATGATTGAATGCCAGAGGAAGATAATGAAGGAATAACCGGAGAAGATGATGATGACATGACTGTGTAAGATGATAATGAGGGTACGCCAGGCCTAAATCCAGGTATGTGTTGGGAAGATGTATGGCCAAACACACTCACAAAATAACTGTCTGACATATTTATAAAGTATATTAGTTAAAATACTGATAGATCATGCAAGTAGGTCAATAATATAATTTTTGACCTACTTGTAAAATTGTTGAACTTCGGGGCAATTGAGCTATACATGTGTTGTAGCCGACTTTTTCTCCATTCCGATCCAATTTCTTTTTTGATACTTCTTAGAACTTCTACCGGGTTGATTGAATATGGATATAGGCGGTGCCAAAGGATCATTATCACCTTCATCGTCATGCCGATTTGTCCTATTTCTCAAACATGGCACGTGATGCTCAAAATAATATGAACAGAAATGAGAAGTTTCTTTAACTAGATATGCTTCACATATTGATCTCTAAATCTTGGATTTTTATTTCACCATCCGTTTACATTTGCCAATAGTCCTACATAGTATAATTTTAGATGGGAAGAAGTGTAATCAAAACACATAAAGACAAAATAATTAATGGTTATTACCTCTCAAATGGATACATCCATCTACATTGAACAGGCCCTCCAAGTCGCACCTCTCTTACAAGATGAATTGGGAGATGTTCCATTACATTGAAAAACCCACATGGAAAATTTTTTGCCAATTTGTTTATGATTAAATGGATGTTACCTTCCATCAAAACTAGATTTTTCTCTCTCAATGTATTAGAACATAGGACTTTGAAAAATAAGCTTATCTCTGTGATGGGTTTTCATATTCTCTCAGGCAATGCGCTAAATGCAATAGGAAGTAATGATTTTATGAAAATGTGACAATCATGGCTTTTCATATACATCGACTTTCCTTCTTTCATGTTAACACAATTGGATAAGTTTGAAGCATACCCATCGGGCATTCTCAAATTTCAAACCCAATCACAGATCTTTCGTTTGTCATCCATTTTGAATGAATAACTGGCTTTAGGCTTCACAATCCTATTATTTTCTGGACGTAGTTCTAATTCTCTTCGCTTACAATATTCCTGTAAGTCCATCCTGCCCTTCAAGTAATCTTTTGTCCTGTTCTTGTCATCCATTACAGTATGAAATAAATTATCAAAGAAGTTCTTTTCAATATGCATGACATCCAAGTTATGTCGAAGAAGATTATGCTTCCAATAAGTAACTCCCAAAATATGCTCTGTTTAGTCCAATTATGCACAACACCATAACCAGGTAGTTTAAGCAATGGAGACTCTGTTACCTTAGGTAAATTCTTAACCCTCTCCCAAATTTTCTCCCCCGACAAGATTGTTGGTGGCTCATCATAATCAATTCGATTTTTCATAAATGCACTATTATTTCTCCTGAACCCATGATCCATTGGCAAAAATCGACGGTGACAGTCAAACCATGTGTTCTTACCTCCATGTTTCAAAGTGAATGCTTTTGTGTCTTCTATACAGCAAGAACAAGCTAACCTTCCGGCAGTCGACCATCCAGATAATATTCCATTAGCAGAAAAGTCATTAATACTCCACATCAAAGCGGCACGCAATTTAAAGTTTTGTTTAGTTGATACGTCGGATGTGTCAACACCTTCATGCCACAACAACTTTAGCTCATCAATCAAAGACTGCAAATATACATCAATCAAACTTTTTGGATTACTTGGATCCGGAACTATGCTAGTTAGAAATAAATATGGACTTGTCATACACATCTCTGGTGGAAGATTATACGGTGTAACAAAAATAGGCCAACACGAATATGGTGCAGCAGAGACAGAAAAAGGAGTGAATCCATCTGCACACAAACCCAACCTAATATTTCTTGGTTTATTAGCGAAGTCAGGATACATCCTATCAAAATGCTTCCCCGCTTCTCCATCTGAAGGATGACACAAAACACCAGGCGCCCTTCTATTTTTGTAATGCCATCTCATATGAGGAGCGGAACTCATTTATGCATACAACCTCTTTAACCTAGGTATAATAGGTAAGTAATGCATCCTCTTAATTGGAACTTTCTTCGCTTTGGCATTTGTGACTTTCTTAAAACGAGACAATCCACAAAATTTGCACGCTTCTAGAGCCGCATCATCTTTATGATATAACATACAACTTTTTTCACAACAATCAATTTTTGTTGAGGAAAGTCCTAACTTAGAAACTAACTTCTTAGCCTTATAGTAATCACCAGGTAAGTTAATGTTCGGACTAACTTCACCCATAAGCCCAATTATAGCATTCATGGAAACTTGAGAAATATTCCAATTCGTTTTGATAGCTAGTAATCTAACTGCAACAGACAACTCCGAGTGTATTGAGCCTTCATAGAGTGGGCGAGTAGCCGCCTCTAATAATTCATAAAAGTGCTTTGCCTCATCATTGGGAGACTCATCAATATTTTATTAGGATTGAACTCCTGGGTGTATCCCAAAAGCATTCGACACCATTTCATGCTTTTGAGAATTTTCATAATTATTTTCAAAGAATGTACTACTCTCACAACCAGTAAGATTCTGTAAGTCAACATCAACTAAATTACTATAGTTCGCTCCATGAACCGCCCACACATAGTAATTTTCTCTAAACCCCTTTCTATAAAGAAGAACTTTAACATCCTAAACCGTCCACACATAGGAATTCGGGAAGTGTTTTTGCATAAGCAATAAATCCTTTAACACCTTCTACAAATTCTTTCTTCAATCCCCCACGATTAGGATGATTTCTATCGTACATCCATCTACAATCTTGTTCCATCTATTACACAATAATAAGATAAAATAAGTAAATAAAGAAATGAATAATTTATTTTATTCAAATTAGTTTACAATTAAACTTGAATATACACCTTAGATAACCAACATTTCTTTTTTTTTTTTTAAATTAAGTTAAGAAAAGTTATGGTTGTAAATCAAATTTTTGTGAATGAACAATGCCTTTTACTAGAAGTGCTCTCAACATGTACTTGAAATCAATTTTAGAAATACCAAGTCAAATCAAGACTATCAAGACTCTAACATACTTATCATGCATCAATATCATGGTTCTTAAAAAAAATATAAGTAATTAAAGGAATTGGTAAAGATGTAATATCTTTTCACAATTTATTTAAGTTTCATCCTTGCCTAGTTATAATCATTTCATTCTGAAAATAGTATACATACATCCTGATTTTAATTAAAAGAATATATATACTTGAGAAGGTATATAATTTTCCCACGATACTTCAATCAATACTTATAGGCTCATATTACATATAGTACTCAATGACATATCAAATCATAAGTATTCGAAAAAGGATGGCTTATTGTTTACATGGAAGTATTCCAAACATATTGCAATCAGCTATACAAATCCTTACTGATCATAATTTACATTACATGTTGAGAGAATGTTTGTCTATCGCGTCATTATTTGTCTTCATATGTCTTTATGCATATTGTGACTTAATTATATTTGTTTTATTAAAAGGAAATGGGTGAACATAGCCATTTAAAGAAGAAAAATTTTGCTTCCTACAAAGATCTTTTATATTATTTTCATATCTCTTATGTATACAAATAAACAACATGTTGTACAAAAAGATATACTGTTCCAAATAAATTTGTAAATTGATCGAGCTACAAAACCAAATGACCAATTCGGAATATTGTTGTATTCCTGGAAAGCCGAACATACCACAATGAGGTAAATTGGTCAACATAGCCCTTTATAATTTGAATAAAAGAAAATGATTATGCAAAGATCTCTTGTATTTTATTTTCGTATTTCTTATGTGTAAAAATAAAATTTTCTTGTGAAAGAGATAAAACTAAAAATAAATTTGTAAAGTGCTAAAATACCAATTGATGTACAGAGTTTTGACGAAGATAATACCAGCCTAAGTATATTCTTTGTTGTCTGATACACAATTGAACTGAAAAAGGTAGAATAAATTTTGAAAATCAGCTTAGTTTTTTTGTGAAGATTGCAAGAAGTAATTGAAACATCACTATGTAGGTGTTTATATAATGTACGTAGTGGGAAAATGGGTATATGGATGTAGTTTGGACCTAGCAATATAATTATATGTTTGTCATAAATTCTTCAGTCCTGGTAATATTGAAGAAATTTCTGTGTTATTAAAGAAGGTCAATAGAAAAAGAAATTAAGTGAATGAAATGAATTCTCCACATTCTTCCCTTACATGAATGGTGAAAAGAGGGACATTACCGATTATTCTAGTTCTCTGTAAGATAGTATAAGATTCAGTTAAAATCGACAAGATTGAAGAAAACTCTTTTTCTTGAAACAGAATAATTAATGAAACCACTTAATCTTCTCATTATTCAACTATTTGGTGACAATGATTGACATCGTTGTTTTACAGAAGTTCAATAAAAATCAATTTCTTTCAATAAATTAATCGAACACCTAGTATACATATAGGCTATCTAAGGAGTTAACAAATACAATTCTTGACCAACAAATTCTTGAAAAAATGGAGTGAAGCAGACTCAAGCTTTAGGTGACAGTGAAGGAACCCGAAAATGGGGAAAAGGGAAAGGAGAGAGAGAAAGAGAGATTGACTTACCGAAATCCCAAGCTTGTATTAGATTTGGAGAATATAGTAGTAGTCGAAGTGATGGTTGTTTATCCTTTTGTCGCCGGCGACGACGCCGAGTATTTGGTCGGTCGCAACTGCTAATGTCGTGTCGAAATGACATATCGCCGAGTATTTGCTGCCAACTAAAGGCTTTCAGCGATGGATGCTTAGATTTACAGAGAATTCTTAGATTTATCGCAAGTCCTTTGATGAAGAAGGGATGCTTACAGAGAAGAGAGAGAAGCGGAGAAGCGGATGTGACCTAATTAGAATGTGGGAAATCCTTTTTGCACAAGATAAAAAATATACTAATATTTACTTTCCCAAAGAATGTGTGAGAATATTAAAAATATTCCATACACTTTTTTTAGTTTGCCACTATTTTCCCTGGGAACTTCGTTTTAATTTTATGTAATTCATTTTCAATTATTTTTCCACTGACATAAGTGGGAAATAAATTTCGCGGTTTTAGGCGCTAAACAGAGAGTCTATAAAAACTATTGAAATTTTGGTAAAATTTTCATGTCCGCATTTTCCCACTGATTTTGTCAATTTTTTGGTGGGAATTACCATTGATATATTTTCATGGGAAATATCCGTTGGAAATTTGCATTATTCTAGTAGTGTTCTGATCAGCCTTTATGTAGGTTTAAGCTATCTTACGATCAGCAGCTTCTGGTATTAGCTATTACTTTAGCCTTTCATGGGCGCTATGGAATATCCATGATATAATCTTTTAACAATTCAATCCTGTCTATGACCTGGACTCAATTCTTTCTTTTAACTTATACCGGAGTCTTCTACGACTGTATGATTGTCAACATATATGCTTCTTGGATAATACTCCGAAATCTTAAGTTCGTTCATAGTGTAACTAACTCTGGATCATTGATCGAATAATTCCTTTCGTTCTTTCTCAGCTTTTTTCTTTTTTTTTTACGTAGGCAATTACTTTTATTGGTATTTCTGTCCTCTTGTTGCGTGCATACTTAGCTTATATTAGTTCCCACGCATGCCGGAATTTTCTTGCGACTCATATGATCTCGAATATTACTTTTGATTTTACTTTCCGTTCATTAGAGACGGTAGGTGCCACTTTCTTATGGAGTGGATACAATGTTGTTGTGAGACTGCTGTTACAAGACCATCTCCTCTTTAGGTCATTGTGCATAGGTTGAAGCCTTCTTCCTTATTTCCTCAGCTAGTCTTTCATTGTAGTACTTAGGGAGGACCCTCTGACTCTTGTAAAGTTGCGAGCTTATTACATCGTATTTTCGATAGAATTTTTGATGTTCGTACTTACCTATAATTATCCTTAGTTACTTACCTCCATACTTATCTGCTCGTACGGTTGCTTCTGAACTGAAGTTTTGACTGTCTTCCCAATGGGATTCTCTTTTACTTCTGTAACACTCATACAGTACCTTTAACTACCCCAACACCTATCTGAATATTTCTCAAGGATCACGATGTCATAACTGCAAGGCTAAATTCACTATATTAGGTTTTATTTTGTTTATCTTGCACGATCTGTTGATTTGTCTGTATCCTCTTGTCTAGCCATAACTAGGCTCTTCCTGAATCAACTACTAACTACTTGTTGGCCCACTCTCATATTAATATTCCGCGTAATCTTTCTTGGGTTATTTCCTTTGTCTTAACTTACCTCTCGCACTGGCTCCTTATCTATCAATAACATCTCGGGCATGAACCCTTACGTCCTCTCCTTGACATCATGTTTGCATAATGTTCTGAAATCGTAGCATATCTGTAGGCTTTGAATAAGTGCAATCTCATCCCTTTCTCATTTTTATCACATTCTTCCTTTACCATTTCATAGTTACTAGAACCACTTAATTCCGACTTAATGCCACATCACTTCATATTCCGCCATTTAGGGGAGTACTAACATTTAGTGCTACAATGATCTACATATAAATATTTTACCTCTTCATCTTTGGCGTTTGTTCACATCATCGATGACACTTACTTGGCTCGCGATAATCCTTTTGTACTAAGGATAACAAATTTCCTTACTCGCGAGGGTGACACTTAGTATAACTGGCACATACAGTCCCTTAAGCTTAACTTTGCTCATATTGCTTGCTTTAGGGAAGTGTCTTCTTGAATGACTATTCTCTGAATTTCTCATGAATCTTTTTCTATTGTCCATTCTATTATCGCCGAAACGAATTCTGAAATTCTCATGATGTCGACCATTATCAAATCACTCAGTCCCTAATTTATGTTTAGTTTATCTTGTTCACCAACCCATACTGATTTCTATTATTCTGGGGTCTAACTTTTCCTTCTAGTAGTCGCGTTGGAGTCACGAACTTATTTCTCGAAATGAGGATATGACTTTATGGCCTATACTCTTTTGTTGTCTCAAGGCCTGTCACCTCTCATCTTTTCCTTCCCTTGACTATAGACTCTGCAATATTGTCATTTTTTTTTATCTACCGTTGTCATCCATGTATCACATCTTACTCACAATGCTTGATTAACTCTCTTCTTATTTCCCTGCTAATATTTCTCTCTATTACTTTGTTCTGAAAACTTCAACAAGACATTCTTTTGCTTTTAGCTCCCCTTGCTCCATGCATTGGCTCTTCAGGTTGCCTAAAATTCTCTCTCTACTAAGGACGAGAGCCACACTAAGGTAATATTTATCCCTTCCAAGATTCTAGTGCCTATCTTTGTGGTACCCATATCTAGCTGTACTATTTTAGAGTACACCATCTGGGTGTCTCACAAGGAGAACTATTAGCACGTTTGCAATATCCTTCGGAAATGACAACTAACGCAAATAATCCATTCACTATTTTGGGTCACTCTAACCCCAGTATGATATGAAAAGACACGTTATGTTGGTACTCGGTTGAGTAAGGTACTGGGTGGCCATCGCGACCCATCGGTTTGGGTCGTGACATANGATATGATGGGATGCCCTCAGAGGCTTGATGATGTTATGAACGCATATACCTATGCATGGTATGACATTATACGCATATGCATGATATTATAATATTAAATAATTCAAATAACTATTCAGACAAATATGTTGAGTCTTTTACTCCATGTTTCTCTCATGTGTATTATTTACTGATTTTCATTCCTTACATACTCGGTACATTATTTGTATTGACATCCCTTTTGCATGGGGATGCTGTGTTTTATGCCCGCAGGTCCCGTTAGACAGGTCGAGAGTCCTCCAAGTAGGCTATCAGCTCAGTGAAAGATGTTGGTGCGCTCTATTTGCTTCGGACTTGCTTATTTGGTCAGTATGATTAGGACATGAATTGATTGGTTTGGCGGGGCCCTGTCACGACCTTTATGATATTCATGTATTCTTAGAGGCTTGTAGACAGATGTCATGTATACAGATACTTGTATGGCCTTATCGTCCTATGTTCCAAGTATATAAAGGATCACGTTGGCCTTATAGGCCCGTATGTCACAGGTATGAGTTTCTATATCAGGTTGGATCATTTTACGTCTGGTATTCCCTCATGTTTACTCTGGTTATATCATGACGCCCCTTCTGGCTCACTTACCCATGATGATGTAATAAGAAATATATGTTACGTTGGTACTCGGTTGAGTAAGGTACCGGGTGCCCGTCGCGGCCCATCGGTTTGGGTCTTGACAAAAGTGGTATCAGAGCAGTTCTGTCCTAGGGAGTCTACATGCCGTGTCTAGTAGAGTCTTGTTTATGGGTGTGTTGTGCACCACACTTATAAGAAGGAGGCTACAGGGCATTTAGGATTGTCACTCTTTCTTCTTACTTTAGATCGTGTGGTAGAGCTCATTTGTAGGAATTCAAATTCCTAAATTCTATTTTATTCGTAATAAGATGATACCTACATCCAAAAGACAGTTGGTAAGAGATTGCATGTGGTTGTGGAAGAGTTAAGTTTGAGGGACTCGATTTTGCACCATGCTTATGATGAGTAAATATGAGGTCTTCAACAGACCGTGTGTGTACTAAGACGTATAAGCTTCTTGATAAGGAGCCTTAAGGCAAGAATATCTATCCACCCGTATGGTAAAAAACAACGAGAGAATCAGAAAGTACAAGATTTAACAAGTAAAAGAAGCAAGATGAAGAAGGGTACGATGTACCCAGTTAGTGAAGATGATCATTATCTACAATTCAGGAAGAGAGATATAACCATTTTGAGTTACCTTCAACAGTAACAGAGGTATGTACAATTAGTCACACTCATTTCAGTTATGCCCTATGAGGGCTAACAGGTGTAGTTTAAGATGAAGGACGGGATATCAAGATCCAGGTCTATTTTATGTTATGGGACTGGTTGGTGTGATTGGACGGGGTCCTCGGATCCTCGGGTGTGTTTCGGGATGGTATCGGGTCAAGTCGAGCTGTTTTGGAACTGTTGTTGCTAGTTTTGGTTTTGTCCTTCGCGAACGCGAAGAGAGTCCCGCATTCGCAAAGAGGAATTTTGGGGCTTCTGGGAATTGGCCTTCGCAAACGCGAGGTAGTTGACGCGAACGTGAGGCAGAAGCTGGGCAAACCTTCGCGAACGCGACACAGAGGTCGCGAATGCGAAAAAGGAAGAGGATTGGGAGACCTGGAGTCATTTAGTCTTCACGAACGCGAAGCTTCAACCGTGATCATGAAGCAGTAGGGCCTGAAGGAATTGCGAACATGAGGCTTTGGTCGTGAACGTGAAAAAGGGGCAACTATGCTAGGCAGAATGTTTTAAAAGCGGGATTTAGCCCATTTCACTCATTTCTCTCTTGGTTTGGACGATTTTGGAGAAGCTTCAAAGGGAGATTTTCATCATCCATGTCAAGTTAAGTGATTCCCACCTATTGCAAGTTAAATACTTGGATTATAAATAGATTTTAACATGAAAATTCATGAAAACTATTGTGGAAAATTTGGGGTTTTAGTAGAAAACCTAGAAATTGGTATTTTATGATTTTGACCACGAATTTGGTCATGGAATTGAGAATAAATCATATATTTCAGTTTGTAATGTTATGGGTAATGTTTATCTTCGAAATCTTTCGGAATCCGGGCACGTGGGCCCGAGGGTTGTTTAATCGGCTTTTCGAGCGGAGTTGGAAATTTATTTAAATTGATTCGTTATAAGTATTAGAGTATATTTTTATGGGTTTGTACATTGTTTGACTAGTTTTTGAGCGACGGGTATCAGTTTGGGGTGTTAGAGTGGCGTTGGAGCCGGATTATGAAACGTCGGAGCGAGGTAAGTCTCCTGTCTAGCTCTATGAGGGGAAAATTACCCCTAGG